GAAAATGAACCAGCTGCGCTTCGAGGCAGACAATGCGGTCACTCGCGCTGAAGATGCAGAAGCCAAGAACAAGAAATACGATCAGATTATCCTTGAAAAGGATCAGGAGATTACTTCAATGACTCACAAGATCTCGGTTCTTGAGGCAGAGCTTGACAAGGTGGACGCGAAACTTGCCGAAGCCAAGGCCTCACAGGAGGAGGGTGAATCATTGAAGAGCACGAACGAGAACCTTACGAGAAAGATTGCACTATTGGAGGAGGAACTGGACGCTGCTGAGAAGAACGTGAAAGAAACGATGGAGAAGTATGTCGTGGCTATCATCTGTTATCAATTACTGATCATCTTTTCAGGCTGCGGCAAGTGGACGTCAAGGCAGAACACTTCGAACGTCAAGTCCAACGCGTTGAGCAAGAGCGCGACCAATGGGAGAAGAAGTTCGAGGTAGGTCGATGTACTCTGCTGTTAGATATGCCACCTAACCCCCTTGTACAGGAAATGCAACAGAAATACAAGTCGTCCCAGGCAGAACTGGACAACATGGTTGCTAACATGGAGTCGATGTAATCAGCCTCTTCGTGCTTTCTCCTCTTTTGCGCTCTCCATATAGAGCTTCGATCTTGACTATCTCACACCACAGCCCACTCATGGTGGTCATGACCCTCTACACGATATTCTCATAATTCTTCTACCAGGAATAGTGTTTGATTATTTAACTGAATGGATTCTTGCCTCAGATCTTGTGGCCGATTGCGCGATCTGGTACTCTCTTCTCAGTGAGTTCCTTGTTTTGACTCCACTAGCACGTTAGGGGGTTCAAAGTCATGATTACATAAGTTGTGAGACATTGATTTCGTAAACACGTGACTAGTCGCGATCACTTGAGCTTCTTCTATCAACCGTAGGGAGCGATAGCCGCCTTTTAGTAATGTCGGCCTCCTGATGAAAAGACGACCTCCCTTCTCCAGATTTGTCTTCATGCCCACGCCAATTGTCTCAACACAAGTGGAGCCGGTGTCTCGCTCGCTGCACCAGCTCCCTTTTAACATTATGTATGCCGTCTTTCTCGATTCGCACAAGATCATGTCGTTTATAGTCTGACCCTTGTGGATCTCATCCTATATTCCATTTCCATTTCCCTGCTCAAGTTCGGAATGGATATATGGCCTTGCACTCAGGGGAGTAAATATAGCCCACTTGTTCTATATCTATTTCCCCCTAGGCTCCCAGTCATCCATTTGCGGCAGTGCCTCTCAGTTCTCCGAGATTTGCTCGTTATCTCTAGGTCTTAAGTATGTGGGACTGAGTGGACGATCTGACCGAGGAGCTTCTGGGATTATCCATACATACTTAAGACCAACTCAAGACGCATTGACCTGGCGACGGCCCAGGCATCATTGAGCTAGACTCGGCCTTCCTCAAAGAACCTCGACCTATATCAACGTCCTCCTCGCTGGGCGAGATATCGAAGGAGTCCAATTTCATACATGAGAGTGTGTCACCAGCTAATTGTACAGTTTAATAAGAATATTCATAGAAAACAAGCCTTTACTCCTCCTTAAATTTCAGCGAGACGGAGTTTACGCAGTGTCGTTCGTCGACTGTAGAGGTTGTGAGGCCCAGATCAAAAATACACAAGATAGAAAGGAACGCACTTGGCGTGTCGAATCCTTCTCCCTTGAACACATGCCCAAGGTGACCACCGCATGCGGTACAGGTAATCTCTGTCCTCGTCATAAACATCGACCGGTCTTCATGCCGACTAACAGCACCAGGGATCGCTACGGTTAACCATGAGAAACAAGTTCTATTTCCCAGAATGACAATTTACCATCAAAGAAAGCGGGCCATCCGCAGCCACTGTTGAACTTCGTGGTGCTCTTGTATAGTGGTGTTCCGCAGCCAGCACAGCCATACACGCCTGGGGCGTCATGGTGGTTATAGCTCCCTGTGTTGGGCGCCTCTGTTCCCTTCTGACGAAGGATTCTAAACTATCTCCAAAATAAAGAGTGAACATACGCCCAATGTGGTTGATCGGCCAACACACCTGCTCTGGAGACAAGATGGCACGCCATTCGCCTTCAGACTTGGAATTAGCTCCCATGACAAAGGAGGATCGATGAAAGTGAGATTTGAAAGTCAAAAGCGAGGCTCTTCTAATCCTGGTGAAAGACGCAACAGACCTGTGATACCCCAGTAGACGAGGGCTTGCGATCATATGGTTGCTGGCGCTAGCCGCTGGCAATATTGCTGAGCAAGACGCGTACGATGACGTCAGGTGACCAGCCGAAAAAGGCCGGGCCAATCAGCTTTGACAAAAGCATTGACTGTCTTCAAGCTTCAGAAGCTTCAAAGCTTCAAGGTCTGACTCTGACAGTACTATCATGATTGACAATGGACCTTCATTATTACGATTCGAGTACGGACAGCATAGAAACACAAGACACGCGACTCAAGCCCGCGCGTGCAGTAATAGATGCGCACATCCCATGCCTAGCAAGTATGGACAGAGGATGCTCTTTCATTCGTCCATTTCGTTCCCACTGTCCCCTTTGCCCTCCAACTTCTGGTACCCGATGAACATGTCCATGCTGCATCTTCCGCAATTGCATCAAAGTTTCCCTACACGCAAATTGTGGGACCCCACAAGCACTGTTGGCTCGAATACGCGGGTGTCGACCGCAGCCAACCAAATTGCTTTCCCAATTCAGTCTACCTTATGTTGAATATGCGTTAGCATGAAGACGATCCGGAGACCATTTTTATCCATCCTCTGTCATTTTTCTCCTTTGATGTCCGAAATCACAGCCTATCCACGAACCTTGTCCCTCCTCTTCCGTCGACCAACTCACTCATCCGGTTTCCGACGCGAACGGCGTTTCTCGACTTGCTTATAGACACACTACTAGATCTACCTATTGGTTCTCGTCACTGGAAATTTGCGCAAAAAATGGAGTCATACATGGCCTATCATATCGCATATACTCTGCGAACACAACCCCGTGTACTGCCGAGTGGTGAGCTCGAGCCAGACTCGACCCAGTCTGTGCTATTGAGCCTGAAAGCCGAAAACTGCCATTGTTTTGATGGTCGCATAAGGAGAACTACAAGGGGTTGGTTTCCAGATGTACTGGAACGTAGATCGTTATAGGAAAGAGCTGGGTAATTGCGATTCTTGTCTCGTCGTTCACTTGGCATGGACATCCCTGACACCAAACGCTTATCCGAGGATAGCAGACCAGTGCCGCGAAATACTCCCGACCTTGCAGCAATGTACGCACTCTTGACCTTTCCTTGCTTATCCGTGTCTCATCGTTACTCATGGGGTAGGAGGTCGAAAACTCGCCGCATTTCAACACAGGTGACATCTCTGTCTTCTAGGTTAGCCTCGAGATCACACGTGTGAGTTTCCATACGTGCTTTCACGCGACCAAATGGACCAGCTAACTATCGCTGCCCTCTTCACCAGATTGCAACCATTCAAATCCGTACAAACGATGCTGTTGCGACTTCAGACGCAGGCATGAAGGACGTGGTTAATCGGACAACGTTCAAGTATCGTTCGGATGCTGAAAGGCCACATTTGTCTGGTCTCTGACACATGTCATGAAAGCGTCAACAATGCAAATTTTTACCCTTATCTATGTACGGTTGACATTCATTATTTAACCGCCCTTCAAGGATGTCATAGTACGAGTACGTCACTGGCCCCAATGGACGCGTGTCATACTCTCGGGCTTAGCTGATGCTAACTTCAATTGGCTTAGGCACAGCTGACAGAGTGACGCATGTGTTTGACGTAGTTGGTCGAGTGGATGAATTGCAGTGCAAAGGTTGGGTTGAGGGTACGATTCTTGATAGTGCTGGGGTTCTTGTCGTTGGGACTTGTTCTTGCTAAGCAAGACTGGTCAGCTGCCGTCTATCTCTGTCATGCGCACTATGTGAGGGATACCGTATATATTTACATGCTCCTCTGGTCCCTTCGGACTGTTCTAAAGACTACCTACACCAATGTTTTGTCCATGTATCTGACCTTTCTTGTGGACTTCAATCTCGATCCCTACATGCAGGGCCAAGAACTATCCTACTGGAGAATACCCACGATACACCGCTCTCGATATGGCATTGCGATTCGTGACCGAGGGGATTCTGAACAACTATGTATAGGTATGATAGGATTCCTATTTGGTCAGAATATTTCCTGAATCCATTGGGACAAGGTGCTTCACCTAACATGCGCTAGCGGAGGTCACTATTTCGCATCACCCTGCGATGCCCCAGCGCAAGAGAGATTGACTGATGCTTTGCCTATTCCTACATAGTACATTGGCGAGGCCCGACGCCTCTTCACTATTCTCACCTGCCGCGCGGCCGATGACAAGCAATGTGCGGGGTGTTCGATGCTCGCGAAAGACGATTGCGAGGAGATCAATTATCTCATGTGTCGCACAGAACTCAACGGTCATGAAATGTGCCGCTCGATGATTGTTCAGGGGCACGAAAGATAAACAACTCCGTTCCTCATACTTTCTCTCGCGGCATTGGAGAACAATGATACCCATAAGTAGCCAGTGGCACGAACAAGCCTAAGGAGATGGTAGAAGATCGTGATGCCATCATGCGGTAGATGCGGCACAAACACCCACAAGTCAAAATACCTGACACTTATTACGTAGCCCGCCAGGGCACCAGCTGGTCTCAGTCTCAAATGATTAGTCGCAGAATTTTGCGCTCTTCATACAACCCTAACAATTAACGCTGCGTTTTCCAGCCCTCGCGGAGTTAGTCTCCAGCTGCTGACCTAGTGGTGTCGAGATGTCTAGTGAGTCGCGGAGTGGAACCTGAGATTACGACTTGTGACACTTGTGTGAAACATCTTTGCCGGAGTTTAAAATGACGCTGTAAACTCTGAATCTGGAATAAACGACGCATCAGATTTTGATGCTTGTGTGGGCACTGGGCATGTTCATGGCAAGCAGCATCACGATTGTCATGCCCGGTCGTCCAAGAGACCCACGAATGTTTGGTCCACGATACATTATTGATACAGCAGTGCAGACTACTTGAACATAACGAACACGTTACAACCTGTGAATCAAATCAATCCCACGGAGACGGTGGCTTATTAGTATCTGAATCAGTACGAGATGCAGAGCCGATCCCTATCATCATTGTTAGACATTGCATGGTGACATCGGCAGCGAGCACGACAAACCTCCATTCCCCCCACAGTTGACAACTGTTCCTGTCATTTCGGAATCAACAGACACCACACTTTGGTTGTAGAAATTATAATTGTTGATGACTGTGAGGCTGGGGCTAGGAGACGTTGGTCTGCTCTCTGGGGTCGAGGGTTTGACTGAGGTAGAGTCAAGAAGGTTGTTAAGTGATATCATGGATAACAATTTGCAAACACACTGGTTCGGTCATCGTCTTCGTCTTCGTCTTCGTCTTCGTCTTCGTCTGCTTCTCCGGATCTCGCGATTCGATTCAGAATCGCAAAGGCCTCTTGTTCTTCTTGTTCGTTATCGACATCCACGTTTATGCCTCGGAGGGTTTCGTTCGGAGGAAGATCTTTGACTGATCCGCCTCATGTGAGATATGAGCAAAGGGAAAGAAAATCAGACCAACCCGACATATTGCCTATACCAAGAAGATGCTTAGTACTCTGTCACAAAAGCGGAGATGATACATACCTTCTACTATATCAGGCGGACTCTCCTCACAAACAGAAACGTCGCCTTGTGCGGACCCTCTGGGGCTTCCCGAAGCTGGCCAACATATTGGAGTCAGTAGGAGGAACTCGCTTTTTCCTTCTGACACACCAGAGATATCATTCTTATCCAGCAGCAATCGTCTGACAAGGCCTTCTGAAGTTCTCTGTGTCCCCATTCAACTGCAACTCTACGATGCATGTCATGCGACTTACTCTGATGGTCGCATAACTCTCATATGTGACTTTATAAAAGCGGCGCGCATCCGATTCGCGGACGAAAAGGTTAACAAGAAACCTGCGAAAGGATTTCTTCTGTGCCAAAAGTCGGTCCCTGAGTCCTACCAAGCTGTGGAGATGGATGAGTAAGGCCTTTTGGCTGGGTGAAAAAGCCTACTCGTCATATCGATCTCTGCTAATGAGGTAATCTCGATTGTACTTCTCTCTTTCATGTGCCGAGAGGCGACCGTCTTCCACCAAGTCGGCCAGATCTTTCAGGGCTGATAATGATAATTGTAGATAGTGTTCGCCCTTTTCGCGATCTGTCCGACCCTTTAGCTCGATAACGGTCGTGGGCGAGTTTGCAAATTGGCTCGCGGGACCCAAGTTGATGCCTATCCGAATCGTCGTTTTAGACTTTGGGGGACCCATTGGTTAGCACTGAAAACGATGGGGGCTGGCTGGTATATTCCGTCACGCTGAATGGTCACTTGGTTATATCAAAGCACTTATGAGGGCGGTAGAATAGGAACAAGATCAAAATGCAAGATGAACAAAGTCTGTTTCCTATGCAGAAAGGTTATGGGAACAAGGGAAATAGTAATGGCTGGTGGACAAAAATGACCCCTTAGCGCGTGAGCCTTCTCGACCAAAAATCATGTAAGTAACTGAGATAGGATAATGGCAGCAGAATATATTTTCATCGTTCGGATAAAAGTTTCTTATCAGAATAAAACTTTGCAGATATACTTACTGGATATATGAATGGGTGAGTGCTGCCAGTGAGCCGATAAGTAAACTGGTTACTTGGCCCATTACGATGCTAAGTAATTGGCTGAAGTCCGCAAAGTGCCGGGGTCCGAACCACCCATTTTGCTTGTGGGTCCATATTTGTTCTCTAGCTTCGACAACTTTTAGTTCTCAGGCAGTTTCCAGAGGATGGCCTCAACATCTGCTGCTCATACTCATCTTTCTGAAAACGAGATCTGGTGGAGGGACCGTCACGACTTCCTCAAAGAAAAGGGTTACAAGCTACGAAGTCGCTATAGTCCGGACTGGGTGCCCTCTTGGACGAACACCAACAAAGCTCCCATAAATTGTGACGATGGAGTCAGGTCGCCAGTAGGTGCCGCGTGCCTTTATTAGTAGTAATGTTAATGAATCACCACGCGTCCTTCAGTACTATCATTTGTTGGATGCACGGCGCACTCAAGATGGTGCTCGTGTATCACTTAAATGTATAGACGTATCGCGACACCCTTATGAGATAGAGATCGGTCGGTATTTTTGTAGCCCACCTCTTAGTGAAGATCCGGCCAACCATTGCGTGCCAATTTACGATGTCCTGGAGGTACCCAACAACGATCATCTTATGATCCTGGTCATGCCGTTGTTTCGACGTATCGCAGATCCCTATTTTGACACAGTCGGGGAAGTTGTAGACTGCATCCACCAGCTTTTTGAGGTAATGTCTAATTCCCGGACTCACGCTCATCATGACTTATTTTTCATTCTTTCACTTGAAGGGGCTGCGCTTCATGCACAGGCATCACGTCGCTCACCGGTACGTGTTCAGCTTGCTGGGGCGACTTGTCTCATGATGTGGATATAGGGACTGTATGCAGCTGAATATACTGATGGACGGCAGCATGTTCATAGATGCGTGGCATCCGAGCGAACAATATATGTCGGAGGACCTCAAACGCGCAGCTAGGCATCGTACGCGCACGCAGTCGCCGCCACGATACTACTACATCGACTTTGGCATCTCCCGCAAATATGAGGCGTCCAACACCAGCCCGTTGGAAGAACCCATATTTGGTGGAGATAAGGAAGTGCCCGAGTTCAAGGAAGACAACTATAAACCCCGGAATCCTTTCCCAACTGATGTTTGGTATCTTGGGCATGCGATCCAAGAAACATTTCTCGATGTAAGGCGCAATAGTGGCTTCTCATTTTTCACACTCTGACTTGGACAAAACAGTGTTACTCGGGTGTGGAATTCCTGAGCGGTCTGGTATCGGATATGATGCACTCAGATCCAGCACAACGTCCAAACATGGACGATGTCTTCTCTCGATTTCAGGTTCTACGTCAGGGTCTCAGCGACTGGAAATTACGTTCCCGGGTCTCTCATAATGATGAGAGATCTCTTTTTGATTTGCTAGGCCACTGGGCCCGTCGCATTCAGTACATAGTACGCAGGATTCCCCCGACGCATACCTCGCTGTCATAGAGCGAACTTTTTTAAATTACTAGTCTCTTACTAGCAATGCACGAGTTTTCTGCCTTTGAGTACTGCCCGCATTGTGGAGTGTCAGGTGCAACCGACCATCTACGCTGATTTACAACAACGCACCAGTTTCCTGCCCTCAAGTACTGTCCGCATTATAGGGTTTTTTCCCCTGCATACTGTCGAAACTTACATAAGTCATAGGCTTGGCAGCAGCCTTTGCTTCGTTTCCTGCTCCGGAACAATCGCGTTGGGCATTCATTATTATGATTCGAGCACGGACAGCATTGAGACACAAGACATTCGGCTCAAGCCCGCGCGTGCAGTAACAGATGCGCACATCCCATGCCTAGTATGGGCGGAGGATACTCTTTCATTCGTCTATTTCGTTCCCACTGTCCTCTTTGCCCTTCAACCGCTAGTACCCAACGAACATGTCCATGCTACATCTTTCGCAATTGCATCAAAGCTTCCCTACACAATTGTGGGACCCCATGAGGATTGGCTCGAACGCAGGATCATCGACCGCAGCCAACCAAACTATTTTCCTAATTCAGTCCACCTTACGTTGAATACGCGTTAGCATAAGACGACCCGGAGACCATTTACATCCATCTTCAGTCGTTTTTCTCCTTGATGTCCGAATTCACAACCTATCCAAGAGCCTTGTTCCTCCCCTTCCGTCGAGTATTCACTCATTCGATTTCCGACCCGAACGGCGTTCCTCGACTCGCTCATAGACACCATCCTAGATCCACCTATTGGTTTTCGTCACTGGAAATTGACGCAAAGATTGGAGTCCTATACGGCCTATCTTATCATATATACTCTGCGAACACAACCCTGTGTCCTGTCGAGTGGTGAGCTCGAGCCAGAGACCCAGTCTGTGCTATTGAGCCTGAAAGCCGAAAACTGCCATTGTTTTGATGGTCGCATAAGGAGAACTACAAGGGGTTGGTTTCTAGATGTACTAGAACGTAGATTGTTATAGGAAAGAGCTGGGTAAGTGTGATTCTTGTCTCGTCGTTCACTTGACATCGACATCCCTGGCACCAGACGCTTACCCGAGAACAGCAGACCAGTGCCGCGAAACGCTCCCGACCTTGCAATAATGGTATGCACTCTTGATCTTTCCTTGCGGCACAAAAGGCATCCCGGTCTTCTGGATTAGCCTCGAGACCAAACACGTGAGTTTTATATATGCTTTACGTAACTGAATGCCGCCAGTTGACATTACCGCCTTTTCTTCTTATTAAGCGTGCAATTGCAACCAATCAAATCCGCGCAAACGATGTTGTTGCGACTTCAGATCTTCAGACGTGGGCGCGAAGGTTGTTGTGAATCAGGCAACTTTCGGCTATCTTGTCCGGATGCTAAGAGGGTCAAATCTGTCTAGTCTGACACATGCTATGTAAGTGTCAAACATAATGTCAAAGCCCGGACGATCTCAACTGAGGTGGGCAAGAGAGTGAGTAGATGAAGGTGGTAGAAGAAAGGCATACATATTGATGACACTGAAAGGTAGCGGTCGCATCCGGAGGTGCTGGCGGATACATTGCAAGTGCTCGCGCGAGATCATATTCAGCACCAATGTCGCATCATTGACATGGTAAGTAAGTATCTGATATTTCAACATTGTACTATCAGCCTCATGTATTAAAATAGTCCATCATGACGTCGCACCCTACCGTCATTCGCATCAACACGATGTCATCGGCCGTTTCCCTCGTATGAACCCTCGTCCTGACGCTGATCACAAGCAGGACGTGACTGCGGATGACTCACCAGTATCGCCATTGCCAACTATATGCTCGGATCATAGATGCTGAGTAAATCCTGTGCTAGCAACCCCATCTGTTGTCTTCAGCCTTTGATATCGAATCATTGATAGTACCTGTGTATGGGACCCTATATACATAAAACCCCCACACATGATGGATCACGAGCACTGATTTCAGAAATGTCTTCACCACTGACTCTTCCCACCTGGACACCTGCCCAAGCAGTAGCTCTTCATGGCATTCGCACTGCAATGGGTGCTTTCAAGCCTACATTCGGACAGGCCCGATCTCTCGCTGAACGCGCACGAGTGCCCAGCGAAGGAATCCCTGAAGGAGTTCACATCTCTTGTGAAATAGCTCCGCCTTCCTCTCAGATCCCTGCATCTATTCACTCAAACTCGATCCAACCGGGTCAAGTCCCCGTCTTCTATTATGCTGATGCGTCTTCCGACTCATTTGCTGATGCGAAGAATGACATCAAAGTCATACTTCACGTTCATGGAGGTGCCAACGTCTCCGGGCACCCCACAGAACAAAGGTTTATAACGTTCTTTTCTCGCATGCTCCGTGCGCTCGGGAAGGAGTCTGTTGCACAAGGATCCAGTGCACCCATCATCGCAGCACCTTCCTACAGACTCGCAACAGTCGCTGAGAACCTCTTTCCAGCAGCATTGCAAGATCTCTTCTCTGCATACCATCACCTGATCCTAAAAGGCTTTAACGCCGAAAACATTACTATCACAGGCGATAGTGCAGGGGGAAATTCTGGTACGTAATGATCTAATGAGTTCTTCTCGTATCCATATCTCATTTTCATTCAGCTCTTGTTCTCACCTATATCATCTCGCAATCCACTCTCCCCATGCCGGGGCACGTCGCAGTTTTCTCCCCAGATGCAGACCTCACTTACACATCTGCTACATCTGTACCACACGACATATTCCCCCTATCAACCTACCCAACCTGTTCTTCCCAATATCTCGGCGATTTCCCCGCAAATAGCCCCCTAGCATCCGGCACTCTCATTCCATTCACTGCAAGCTGGCCGAAGACGTTGGTGATGACCGGCACGGCTGACAATATTGCTGAGAGCTCGCGGACAGTCGTGAGTGGTATCAAAGAAGCGGGCGGGATAGCAGAGCTTGTGGAGTATGCAGATTTGACGCATGGTTGGTGGATGTTTGCTCACATCTTTACACTTCAGTCGGACGATGGGTTAGAGAGGCTTGCAGCTTTTGTGTACAATTAAGTAAATAAATAGATCGTAGCTGAGCTTGAGCAGTGAATTTGAGATCTGCGATATGTATCGCATATGATTCGTGAATGAGAGGAACGATATTCGATGCCAATTGATCAAGCTTTATATCGACATGAAGTGACTTCGTGTGAAAAATTGACGGTCCTTTTGGTGGGGTTTGCAGTCCTGGATGTACAGTCCTGAGATGGGCGAAAAGATATATTCATGAAGTAGCTAGACTCAATAAAATGTGTCCCGGAGGTCAGGAGAAAATGCCTGAGAATGTATGGCAAGTGCCGGCGAGGCGAGCACGCTGCCAGGACGGTTGCCGCGAATTTGTGGCTGCCGGCATTGGGATTGTAAACCCGAGCGGAGTTGGGACCGTCAATTTCTCGACCCGAAGCTGCAGCTGTCAGAATTTCGCGGAGAACCGCACGCTTTGTGCGCGTGGGATCAGCACGTTCGGACTGGAAAATTGACGGTCCTCAGGTGAGAAATTTGCAGTCCTTTCGAATCCCGCTCGGCAACGCTTACCAGGACTCCGCACGGTGGCGAAACGTCGTGCAAGCTCTCTGCTGCGCGATCGCACCGCAGGAGACGCTTCGGAAGCTCAGCGAAACTACATTTTCGACCGCTCTACCTACGCCGACCGTCCCCAGAATTTTCCGTCCACAGCTCGTCCCAGACGCGACTCCTTCGAACCACCACCTCCGCCAGACGCGCCTCCTCCGCTTTTGGCAACGCTTAGGTAATCCAGTGCTGGACCGTCAATTTGCTCGTGATCAACTCTGCATGAGTCAGGGATTACATAAGTAATGTAAAAGATGTTTACTCAATTGCAAACAGATAGTTTGTCGGGCGAGGCCTCCGAAGGGGGCGGCGACCTTGCCCCGAATCCCGATAGCGGCCCGGTTGAACCTGTGCAAGAGTGAGCTGAGGTTGATGGCGAGTGGGGGAAAGAAAAATTCCGAAGGCGACAGCACTAACAGGCTGGACCTTGCTGCAGTGCTGGACTGTAGCCTGCAGCAGCTTTGGTTGCCACAAATATTGCGATTACAAATCGTAATGGCTCTTACACACCTCCCTCACGTAGTCTCCCTTAGGCAGACCACAATAGAATGAAGATAGTCGTTCCTTCTATATTATGTCCCTCGCGTGACGTTGGGGCCTGACTTTTGCAAATTTAGTAGAACAAGCAGGTGCGTTTCGTCTCGTGCTTTGACCTGCGCACAGCTCGACACCACCAGGTTTGTAACACAATAGGTAGAAGGCCACTTTATTGTTCCACAACAATGTGCGATGTGGCATTACTGCTAGCCTACCCACTCAATATTTATCGAGTGCAACGTTCTCCGCGCTCCCCAAGCTTAACTATCTAACGATCAGAACCAGAATGCGGTACCCAACTCCTTCATCGACCAAGCCATCCGAGAGTTCGCGGGTCACAAAACATCCTTCTCGAACCTCAAAAGACAACGCCGCGCCCTCTAAAGGTGTTCATGCTCGCAAGCAAGTCCTCAAAGCATTCACTAGACGTGCTTCGCATTACGATCCTCTACCAGTTCGTGCTTCCTTGTGCCCTCCCGAGTCCCAGCAAATTCATTAGCTGTCATTTTTATAGCCACGCATCACAGTCCACGGATTACCTGGTTATACTGGCGGCATCCTGCCACCCGATGCAGTAGACCCTCGCCCAACCGCGGTGACCTTAAACAGCCTCGAATGTATTCGCACATTAGGTATGACATCACTATTTCAATAGAGATGGATTCAGCTAAATCGATGTAGGCGATGGTGCTTATGGTCATGTCATACTCGTACGAACTCTCAATCATCCAAACTCACGGAAACTGGAACGCCCGGGATCACTATTCGCCGTGAAAGTTCTCTCCAAAGAAAGGATGAAACTGATCGATCAGGTACGTGGGACTTCACTGCATCATCTTCCCGACAATAACCTTCCACACAGAAACACCCTGCGGATACTAATGCCGAGAGAACACACCTGTCGGAACTGCCCTGGAGTCCCTGGGTGAACGGTGTCGTAGGCGCCTTCAGGGACGAATCGAACCTTTACCTCATGCTCGAGTTTATACCGAGCGGATGCTTCTACGACGTGATTCAAACGCGCGGCCCCTTCGATGCTGCCACTGCCCGGTT